ACAATCAGGACATTCTCCATAAAATTAGTAGTTTGTGAAGTGCTATTTATTAAGTACATACAATGAGCATTTTTCTAAGGACCCATGACAAAAACGGGAGTGCATGTTCTTTGAGTACATTTTATGTTAAGTGCTTTTCTTCTTTTCGATGATTTTCAAGGGAATCGTATCTGCCCTATCAAGTAGAGACAAATATATTCAGGTGCCGATTCTTTGAGTCACACTCACCGATTGTTGTTTTTTCTCAGGACTGACGTGATTATTGTAGTTGTTATTCGGGAAACTCTTGCCTTTCAATAGCGTCTAATTTCTCTCTTTACTTATCCTCGTGTTGTTTTGTGCTACTGCTTCTCCCCAAGCGCTTATCCTGTATTTCAACCTTTACGTGGGGGCTGCCTCGATAGGAAGCAAATTTAGTTTTCTCCTCATACTCACCATTAACAGTTATAATGGGTTGTGAGAACATCACATAGATTGAGCCATGCATTTGCCTATATTCGAAATCAGGAGTGCAAAAGAGCTATGCTAACCTCTGCTACATTGTTTTTTGAGTTAGTTATAAAAACGTGGGCTGTCTACTTAGTAATAGTACCGTTTAATAGGGCAGTTCACGATAAAATGGCTCACGAGGTTTCCTCCAAGGATGAACCTGTGGCCTACCCAGGTTAGGGACAACAACTGGGACATAGTCGGGTCGAGGCATGGCCTGGACAGGGGTAATGAGGGCATTAAAACCGGCCTGGTCGATGTACACACCGAAAATAGTCCGTGTTATGACAGCCCTTTAAGGGCTGCACCATTAACACTGAAGCGTTGGGACGTCGACGAATAGAGTGCATATGTGGGAGACACCCAGACGGTTACAGACGCCGGCGTATTTGTACGGAAGCTGCAATCAGATGTCTTCTTTTGCTTCTAATGGAAACAGTTTCCATGCTGTGAACTATGGATGGACGTTTATACTATGGATGGCTCCTGTAAAAGGCAATTTTATCCATCTTTCACCTTTGTAGCCAGCTCTTCAACCTACATATTATTGCGACGGCTGTAATCTCGTCCAAATATCCCTTCCTTGCCGGTTCTTTTACCGCAATCCCGTATGATCCCCTTCATCATTATTCTTTAAGCCTTGTATTTGTCAGAGCTCACCGATCTTTTCAATTCCTTCCCTACCTTCGAAGTATGTTGCACTACAACTTCCATTTTTTCACCCAAATCAGATACCTCAGATTATCGTGAACTGTGCCTTTGAAGACATACAGTATTGGGGGCCTTACTACTGGTCGGTACTCCTTCACTTTGGTGTCAGTAGTTACTATTTGTGCAGGCCTCTACAGCCGAGGGGAGCTAAAGCCAGCAGCTGGGTTACTCCCCATACAGACCTCGTGTCTTTTTTGAGCCTCATTTCAGGGCGGTTTACTATCCGTTCACCCCCATCTATAAACCTTCCGAATGTAACGGATGGAAAAAAAGCGAAGCGAATGACCTATTTGCGGTTTCTTTTGCTGATGCTCGTAAGAAAGCGATTGTTTATCATTCGTTCCAACCTTCACCGAAAATTCCATTGGCACGGCTTTCGCCATCATGTATAGAGGTCTTTACACATCCTTTGCCCCCACAATTGTGTGTGGTTAATCATTCTTCGATTTTCTCCTAAAGATTATTGAGATTCTCGGATTCTCGCAGTTTTTTAGGAGCGGTTAATCCACCTTCCTTAATGGGGCTTTGACATCAAGCCCCATGATACATCGTTTCGTTTCTCGCCCTCTCCTATGCAAGCCGTTTTGCAAAGCCGTAAAGCAACGTTCAAAAACAGACAGCCATTTGCAAATTTCACTATCCGAGGGTTTCCACGGAATCGTAGGTCTTCTTTCCTCAGCAGCTTCTCTTCATTAGACTGCCAGATGTCAAGATTACGGTCAGAAAATAAAACCTAATGCAACACCCCTCGAAAGTTCGGTTTGCTCTTTAGTGATGGAAAATTTTATGGCGTTGGCTTTCGACTTTGAGTGATTCCCTGCCGTCATCAGGCTTCGTTTATTGCTTCGGGGTATCTGCACTTCTCATTTGTTCTGTTGATGGTCTTCCTCGGTTTCTGAAACATCAGTAGCCTTCCTCCTCTTCTACTTACTCTTAATCAACCCTTCAAACCAAGGCTTTTTCCAATCATTTCGAGGTGGAACACCTAGAAATTGTATTTTTTTATTTTTTGGACGTTGTACCTCTCCTTTCTACTGTCACACCCCCGTTCTGCTGCCAGATCTTCTGCCATGGCCCCAAGTTGCCGTTCACGCCTATTCGAAGCTTTTATTCGGTTGCTGTCATTCCTGATGACGTGCTTCCACCTCTTCCTTTCTGCCCTCGAAGCGCTCAGACTTCCTTCTTTTTGAAGTTTGCTGTTATAACTTCATTGCCATGTTATTTCGTCAAGGCAAAGTTATGCAAATAAAGCAGGACTTTACCAAGAAGATTTCAAAAACCCTCCATACCCACGGTGGTAACCATAGTAATACAGCTCCCGGACGGATTTATCACTTTTCTCAGCATCTACGACGCATAGCGAGCAAAAGCAGATCTTCGGTCTCCCAGGAACTTATTACTTGGGAATGAAGCTATAACTCCTTCTTGGAGCTTCTTCTGTCTGAGGTTTACTACCATGGTGTTACAACTATCGAGCTCGGGCAGTGAACATATCCATCGGGATTCGGGAGTACAAATAGTCGTGTTCTCCGAAAGTAACAGTAGAGTAATTAGGAAGGGCAATAAGGTTAAGAAAAATGGCACCTCGCTCGGGCAATAGTAAAGCTTGTCGTGTCCTTCCAAGAAAGGATGAGCACGCCTATAGGCTTTCGCCATTCCCTTCACTTAGGATTTTCATAT